TCCACAACCATAAACATACGCTACAGATGCAAATAAGAACTCTCCGCTGGGGATTCCCAAAGTAGACGGCCCTAATCAAGAGAATCTCATTAGATTGGACGGAAAGTCCTGCGACACTTTGACCAAATTTTCGGACCACATTTTCCTTCACTGAATGACACCTCCAATCTACAAGGTAACCACAGTTGATGACTAGGACTAGTGCATCCTTTTGCACAGCTTCTCATTTTCCATTCTCATAGAACTACGGCAAATAAATTGAAGAGGTGGACCTCATTTTCGAGTAGACGTCGATTTTCGGAATTTTTGCTTTCTAAAGGATGCGATAGGGATCAAAGGAGGTGGTAATTAGAGGCTGCTAACTTTGTAAATAACCTGGGTACGGTCGCATTCTCTGATCGAAATCCATGATCTTTTGGCGTAGCCTGATCACCACATGTGGTCTTCGCATTGCCGAGTAGTAGTAGAAAAAATTGAGTATTTCTGAATGAATTCAAGCGTGACGTCATCCATGTTTTGAAGTTGATTAGAGTGGACTGTGGTCCTTACAGCTGTGCTAGTATCCAGCGATACCGCTTTGAAGTCCCACCAATAACACACTGAAATCTTTATCCCATGCACATCTGCTTTTGGCTGAGCAATCTCAATATCAATCAAATATCAATCAAATAATATTTTTCTCCTTGAGAGATCCTGCGAGGGATGTGTGCATAGTTTACGCAAGGACTCCACCACTCGCTACCAACCACAAGATCTCACAAATGTTCTTCCAGTGTGTACAAGCAAAAGAAAACTCAGTCACGGTCATTCGGTATGACTTGTCAGACGGGTCCAACTCATGAGGCATCCTTCACAAAAAATTTTCCGATAACCGAGATTGCGGAGAAGCATGGCAGTTGTCAGTTAGGTGGAGCCTAGAGAGGTTGCCAACTTACTGGTGGTTACGTTCGGCTGCGCCTCAAGAAGCTTGAGTAAACGGGCCGTCATTCTGTGCTGGTGGCCGACCTATACATTGCCTACCTCCGAATTAAATAAGTCCAGCTTGGAAGCGCTGATGCAAAAGCTACCCTCTGCCATGGCAAGCGATATCCTTCCTCAAGACAACGTAGGTGTTAGCTTCCTCGACTACGGCGGAGTGGCCCTACAGGAACTCATAATATGGGATAGGTCGAAAAGTACCTCGATCTCTGAGGGACTTTTAAGCTTTGAAAACTTCCACAAAGTCATGATATACCCATGTGCAGAAACCCCAGAGGACATC